GAAGCTTGTTCGTTGTTGGAGAAACTGGAAAGTTACACGGCTAAACGTCAAAAATGACTGAGAACGCCTTTCAGAGTAAGTGAACATTGAAAATTAAATTTAGATCCACCTATCCCTCGAGGCCTTTCATTCCTAGCCTAAACAATTTTGTTAAATGAACTTCGAAGTACTCGACTTTTTTCTATTGATGAAAAGGATAAAGAGAATCAGGAACATCGACATTGCTATTTTTACGATAAATACTAATTTTGGTAAGGACAACTTTGGCCACGTCTTACTGTCTTCTGGTGTCTGGTGGTCGCATGTTTCTCTGATTCGCTTTAGGAGAGAAAAGTCAAATGTAAACTTTCAGCTGTCAGTTAACTCAGAGGCTAAAATTAGGCGGTAGGCGACGTACCGCTTTTCGTCTGGTTTGTAACCACGCCACCAAAAGACAGTTTTATTTCATTTACAGCGCACAGTGGTACAACATTCAGACAGATGATCGACAGGACCTTCTGATGATAAGCAATTGTTTCTCAACGTGGTATTGCCTGGGGAGAGAGACGAGTATTCAAGCCTACGGTCAAGTAGTGAGTACTGATTGCAGGTTTTATTCAATATTGACGTCTTCTTCTCTGATCACACCGAGTTTGCTCGAGTTTAAACCACACATAGTTGATGGAATCAGGCGCTGACTGCGCACATTAAGTTGGACAAATTGCTTCAGGTATTTTGCCCCAGCCTTGTTACCGAATTCCACTTGCTTTGTAAATCATGAGTTAGTTACCACTTCTGGATATTTTACCAGCACGCCAAAAGAATGGGTCACTATCACTGACTATCTATGGTAGACCTGACTGGGTTTGTCGCAATTTCACATTTGAAGTATGCTTCGACTGGAAAGAAGACAAAATTCAGTCATACTTTCGAAACCAAAGACCTAGAAGTTTGCTCCAGTGGATTTTCACAGCTAGTGCTTGACTTAAACTGAGAACTGTTAGGAATAAGAGGTTCAGATGGGAAGCAGTTGAGTCTCTCGTTAAACCTAAATTAAGTTGATGAATCAAATAACCCACGCCATAAGCGGATAAGTTGGTAAGATCCATTTCGGCTTCTTTCTACGTAACGGAAGGTGGTATCACATTTGGAGCTTGGTATAAACGAAATAGAGATCATTTGGAGAACAGCAGACATGACAGATATTACAGCTACATCCTGCTGCGTCATCCCAGAGAACTGACATTGCAGAACTCCCAGAGTGTTTAGAAACTGTGGATAATTGAGTTTGATGCGCTGCCGTGGTTAGTGGAGGTGCGGGAGTTGCTGCTCATGATAAACATTCGATCTTCAGACACCTAGATATACTCATACAAGGAGGAAGTCTTGCTGAAACCGAAATAGCAACCGGATGTTGCTGTCAGGGAAGTGTGTGTGTGTGCATACAAAATATGAAGCACGGCGGTGTTGAGACTCATTCAGCTGAACTTAACCGTGTGCCATCTAATTATCAGAACCGATCTCTGGGAACCACATGGTCTCAACGTAGTTTCTTCTCCCAATCTCCGGTGAGATACTGGAACAGTGGAGAATGGTTTTTGTTCTACCTTTTCTATGGAGGAAAATGTTGGTAGCTCTGATAGGGTAGATGGTCGTTGGCTTGTTCGCTGAGTTGGGCAATTTGATTGCATGCAATCAAATTGTTCCATCTTCCTAAAACCTACAAGCGCGATAAAAGTGACAAGGGTGGACATGACTTATTGCCAGGGTGATGTGCTGCAGTAGGTGAATCAATGTCAACTTGGAAGCCATCGTGATGTTGTCTTTGCAAAATTTTATGGATCAGAGGAAGTAAACTGACATCTATATCAACCATGTGCCGTTGAAACCTTCAAACGGGTAATTCTAGGGCGGCAGAATCAGTGAATGATTGTACAATACCTGAACAGGTTACTTCAAATCTACGGGTCCACATCAGATCGCACCATGCCAGTTAGCTTGTTTGCCACTGAAACGTTCCTCCGTCAGAGAATGTGTCTAGCATCCAGATACATACCATCCAGCAGAGTTCCCTCATGCAAGCCCAGTTCAACAGATATCGTGAATCACAATTAGGGCGGCGTAGTCCAAGAGTTTTCGGAATGAGTCCATTCCATGGGTATCTGGAAACATACATCGCTGAACTGGTATCATTCTCTACAAGGTCATTTCAGATGGTTTCACTTGGACCACACTTTAATCACATACGGTGTCCTCTGAATACGACACCGCGTTCTGGAGCCCAGTACCATTTCACCCACAAAAAGGTTCTTTTGAACAACAACACCACCGGTTTTACTCACACGAAGGCCTAAACTGGCCTGCAACATCCAGTTTTCAGCATACAATTTCAAGTGGTATTAGCTAATCCATGTTACCCACATTATGCCACCCCAAGCGTACTAACTAGTGAAATATAGAACGGAGGGAGGACAGAACTGATTACAAAGTCCACGTAATTCGTCTGTTCAAGCAGAGTGCAGAGTGGATAAGCCTGACGTACGAGTACAAAGACTGTAGGTATAATAGTGATCAAATTTTTGTGGGATCTCGACAGCACCAACCGGTCTTTTTAGACGGACGAATTTAACGAAATGCTCTCTTGTGTGGGGTGCTCATATACAGAAATTAACTAATCTTCCACTCTGAGGAGGGATTTCAAGAGACTTTGCGCTATACAGATGCCCTAGTTGGGTGACGGAAACATTAAAATACTACAGTACGGAGAGCACTGCTTTGAAGGACATCGCTGCAAAAAATTGAAGAATGCTTCTATACAACTAGGTGTGGATTAAACACACAGTCCTAACCTGTTAGCTGTCCTGTTAATTGAGGGGAGGTTTTGTTTGACGTTCTATATTCCTGAAATCATCTGTCTTTTTTAAAAGGTCACGTGGCTTGTTGTAAAGTGACAGCAATTGGATTTCGCTAGCTGCGCGCCATCCTGGTTCCTTGTCCCCTTAAGTCATCGTTAAATGCAGTTCATGTTGTTGCAGCTATTTCACAGATAGGCTACTCTTTGAAGAGCTTGCAAGAGCGTTTTCCGTAAGCACTCATTAAGTAATATCCGAAAACTGGGTGGATCTATTTTTCATAAACTTTTTCATTTTTCTTGGCAGTACTGTGACGTAATTTTGCGAAATTTTTCCTAATATCCAGCAAGTATTTGAGTGCTTTTTTGACTCAAGGTGGCTGAATCGACAGTCACTCCAGAAAGCAAATCCAGTCAAAATTTACCAAGGTTAAGATCAAACTGTGATTTCCGAAGTCGTTGTCAACCTAAATTACTTCACACTCAGTTACTGATTATCCTTACTTAACTTTTAACTAGTCAGGTTATACTTTCTTCACTTTTCATCCAGTATCATAAACTGCGATAGTTCAGCCGTACATTGAACATGTCAGATCGTTGTTCACCGATTCAAGTGTTTCCGTCCGCCAACCGAATAGCACAAACTGAGAGATTAGCAAAGTCTGGTTTGATAGAAATGTTTCAAGGGGATTGTGAAAAGTTTGTGTGCTGTTCTTGCGATTCAGAATTCTCGGGACGTCCCCCGTGTTTGGCTGGAGAAATTTCAAGAAGCGGTAGCTAACCGATTATGGCGATGTTTGTTCCGTCAGTTCACCTGCAGCCTATCCAAGTGGGCGTTTGGAGGTGTAAGGAGCTCACGACCACTCTTAAACGAACAACAGTTTCTTTGGATGTCCAATCTTTTCTGGATTTATTTTGGGAAGTTTTGTAGAGTGGGTACAATTTTTGAATGACGAAGCAACACCAGTGTGGATGCCGGTAGCAATATTTTTAAGAATATTGCTAATCATAATGACCGTGATAACGGAAGTGACAATAATGATGGTGACTAATGTTCTGGAAAGATATAATTTTTTTCGCCTTAAAAAGAGAAGTAAGGACAGCTACTTTATTCTAAAAAAATCGGTGAAAATTCGCCTGGATAGACATTAATGTATGGAGACTTTAAACCATGCGAATGTTCAAGTGAACGTCCATTGATCAATTATACAACTAAAGACGAGCATGGTTGATATGTCGCACATGCTTTTCTGGCCTAGTCAGTCTTTCTAGTGGCAAACTACGCAGGTTAATGGCAGCGGTTTGTCTGACCTTCAGCTGATGTAGCGCGGGAAACATCGTGGCAGGGAGCTGCACCTAAAGTTTCGCTCACTGTCTGAGACTGACTCATTATTAAGTTACCGACACCCTACTATACAGCTGATAATAAAGATCGAATTATCAGCTGGAGGCCTGCCAAGTTTAAGTTCCTATGTAAGGTTGAGTGCTGGCCAGAATAAATATGGCCTATCCTGAATAGTCAGATTAGCATACTAATTTAAAAGTTGGTCAGCGCAAAGCAGGACTGGCGAATAAACCTCGCCCTTGACTAAGGATGACTAAAACAGTATGAATAGATCCACGTTCAGAAAGGCCGCTGGGATTGAAACCATGGTGCTTCTAGGCACAGTTTTAGATGACTTTTCACCCTTTACCTCTAGTTCGCCTCATTAGGTAGAGTTTACGGCAATCGGGTCGAAAACGTATTTTAAGACGAGTGAAACATAAATATACTTGCTTAATCATTATCAAGTTACCTCTGTCCGAACTTGTGTCAAAATGATGTCAGAAGGTCTCCGTCAGAATAATAACCAACTAAGCTAGCACAGGAATCTGTGATTTATCAACGACTTCATTATGTAGCTGGTGGTGTATCGAAAGAATATTTTGTCCTTTTGGACAAAGCTTCTGCAAACTCTCCAGAACCTCCAACGAAACGTTTCAACTTCGTTTGATTTGGTTTCTCTAATGATGCTTGACACCTACTACAAGTTTACCGTTGTCTAATCTAGTTCTCTTTCACCGGCAGACATTATGTTTTTTTTTACCAAAGATCCCTTTTCTGAAAAGTCGGTTCTTAAAGGCTGCAAATAGACGGAAAAATGAAAAACACAAGTACTTGCTTTGCAGGCTTTTATTAACTGCCTAGTGAAACCAGTGATAGTAATGTGCTCCCATAGATGGCTTGACAATGGGCATCTAGTTTTGTCTTATTTTCTGGAAATATATGAAGTTTTTTGTCAACTGAACTCTATCGATCCGCATTGTGATAAGAAGAGTTTACAATGGGCTCCATCGAATTCACCTGCCGCGTGTCATAAAGCGAAAACACTCAGTCCCAGCTTTGTACTAGAAGAATTGATTACTTGGACCTCCGCTTCTTTTTTCGCGGTTGGCGTTTCTTATTTCGCATTTCCACTATTTGCTGAGATTGCTTTTTCAAAGCGGCCCGAGTAAGAATGTCATTTTCATCGCCTCCAACATCGTCGTCTGGAAAAGATTAGAAAGCGTTTTATAGCGCACCAGTAATTCTTTGATTGTCTTATTTGTTGATTACTCGTTACATTGTTTTTTTCCATTCATATAACACATGGACAAACAACACTATTTTTTCCAGTGTATTGTGGAAAACTACTCGGTAAGGATCTACTATCATTCACGAAGAATATACCCATTGTGAGGAATCGTGCATGTTTTTCACTACATGAATAGAACACCGATGACGCGCGAAATAATAGCAAGTTGGTATTGAATTCAGACATTCTTTCAGTGTCCCACAACATTTTCGTTTGAACAGTCTGCATGTCTTGGTGCGATCTGACTGATGAGAGTTTGTTCGAAACGATTCCCCAGCAGTGCTGTAAACCGGTCATGGCCGGAATTGGACCTGGGCCAGGTAACCATTGGTGGAAACACTTTTCAGTCAAAAACTATGGAACCTAAAATCCTGCTTCAAGTTGGGAAACTGTCTCAGTGACGAAATGAGGATATTCAGGGGAAAACTCAAGTTCCTGTGTCATACGGGCCGAGTAGATTGTTACAGTCATATTTAAGCTAAATCTGAGGGAAAACAACATACTGAAAACGTGAGAAGTTACAAAAAGTAGTCGGGCAAAACCAGTAATCAAAACAGTTTTCAAACGAGACTTTTGGGTTAATATAAAAGTTACGGTGATGGAAAATATGTTACTTAGTACCTTCTTGAGTAAGACCCATCAATATCTCACCGGTGCAGTTGCCATCATTGACACTGGAAATGACTTCCAACAAATTGTATGCATTTTCCTTTACTCGTTTTCAGATGATTTGTCAGATAAACTGGCGTAGTTGTGCTTCATTTGTCAAAGCGTTGGTTTCCGCTATTCGGCCCGAAATTCACCAATAAGATCTGTGTGTAGTCCCTTTCATTTTCCTAGCTTACAGTCAACTGACAGTTATTCGAGGAAGTACTTCATACCAGCCACGTAGTACACAGCTGCCCTCTTTGGAATACACTACATTCCACCTGGTATAGATTTAAACTAATCACACAGTTGCTCAGGTAGCCGCAGTTCAAAGGCATGGTGATGGGACACACCAATGGTTTAGGACATTGTCAGACATATCCCGGTCGCTCTCCCAATGGTGTTCGTGCATCCAAGCTGTTGCCTTCAATGCATAGCCGCCTTCCCACATCCCCTACTTCAACGCCCCTGACAACTCTGTATCTACGCGCCAATTTATCAACCTCCGCCTCCAATGCACAGTTACCTACCCCACTTCTCCGAATCATCGGTGAACGAAGCTGTGGCAGCTATAACCACTGTAAGACAAATACGCGGTTTTTACAGCTGACGATGATGACAGCTGATAATAATGGTGATGATAGTCAGCTCCCATTTCGACAAGTCTGACACATGAGTTTTTATAGGAAGGCTAAATTTGGCACCGTTATCTCGTTCCGCGCAAAACAGAAAATTTTGCTGCTTTTAGTTTTTATTCGGTGCTTGGTTACTGGATAAATACGCTGAAATGCGACATCAAAATATCCTTATTACTTGCTCAGTATGCCGAGGAAATGAACGCTTCGGTTCAACTGTTTGATGTTCCATAAATGGGGATTTAACCTACACCAAGTCTTGGAATACCCTGAGTAACAGGTCTCGCAGATAAAGTTAAACATTCAGATACTCTAAAAAAGTGTTAAGTCTAGTGTTGCGGTGATATCACATAAACCTATATCAAAAGCATGGGCCCAACTGTTCAGAATTCTCACTGAGCGCAGACCATCGAAGTAAAAATAACGGTAACAAACACATGATGGCCATACGCTATACTTTTCCCAAACCTCTACTTCGGCGAATGAATTGAATACCGTATCGTCGTGTCTAGGTTCCGGTGATCTAACTATCGCTGGAATAAAGAATACAAAACACTTACCATCGTGAGCACTTTCCCGATGTGATGTGGGAATTTTAATTCGAGTGTTGAAATCGGGCATGTTTCCTTCAAGTTTGCTAAAGAACTGAAAAGAAGACGTTGGAAGATATCGAGTTGTATCTATTGTCAAATGAGATATCGTATTCAGTGCCGGAACACAGAACAGAACCATCCTGACTTACGTCAACCCCAACAAGGAGTTCACCGGTCTGCAATTGGGTCAGTAGAGTTAGACAACTTGCAAATGTTAAGTTGCTCAATCAAAGATTTAATTGGAGAACGGCAAATGGTCAAAGTTTGCTGGTGGTCCCTTACGGAATCCTTCCAAAAGGGAAAGTAGCTTCTTAGTCTCACTTAAGCAAGTGAGTGGACTTCATATTCAGGTGTGTTTTATAAGGTTTCGCATTGCATCACTAGGACTGGTCTACGTTCGAAGAGCCCTTTCTTGGAGATTGCTGTGAGAAAAATCAGTTGGTTTACACAATAATTAATTTCATTTTCTTATCAATAATCATTCAGAATCAGTGGGTGTCTAGAACGTGCAGGCGGACTTATTGGACCTCTGAAAGACATCTTCCATAAGGAGCATTATCCCGAAACCACGCTCTACGCAAACTTCTGTGTTGAAACCCCTATTTAGAAAAGTAAGGGTACGGTTATTCTACGAGTTTATTGCGGTGCTTTTTGTTGAAGGTTCCCACTAAGGATGAAATAAGTTTATTACGTTTTATGAATTTTCCTGAACAGATCGATTTTGACTTCCAGCACGCATACATTTTTACCCAAACACTTGAAATTCTTCATCATTTTCAAGGTGATCAACTCGGATAACCAGGTATCTCAGCTAATTGCTTCGTTAGATATCTTGAGTTGAAAAAACCTCATCTGAATCTGCTCCATTAATGTATCATGCTCTCGGATGAGTACTCACTGGAATTCGGTGACCGAAGCTCGCGTGGCTATCCACTTACCACCGACGACAAACGTACGAATATATGCGGTCAGTGCACCATGATGACGCATACCGGTGATGTTCCCATGACCTGAGCAAAACATTGGCATGCAATTTGCCAAGCTCGGCGGAGATATCAACAACCGCCTGATCTACAACCAGTTGACGCACACATGCCACCAGTATTTCCATATATATTGACAGTGCATGACCTTACTCACTCGGCCATCTGGACTGAATATACTTTACATTATCTGACACTTCCACAGTGTACGACCTTGAAAGGCAATTAAAATTAGCATACTGGCGCACTATTCCACACTGAAATAGAGTACATGCTTTTGAAGGTATAACAGCAGGAAATTTTCCTCCGGTTTCTTGAAAACCAACCTCTAAACACATCATGAGCTAAACTGAAATGATCGAGTGGAAGATCCTAGAGACACTCTTTGGCGTCTCCTGGGGACCGCATTTTAAAAGCATACATTGACCGGCGTGAAATAATCCAAAACAAGCTTCCAGCGAAGACTTCGGGTAGTGTACAGTCAGAAGTGAGCTCTACGTTTCTTCCAACATGAAACTAATTCCACATGCACACTGGTGATTGAATGGTCTGTGTATATTTTTTGTGGACAGCGTATTAAAAGATTCATACTTTATGGCCACATGTAATTGCGAAATTCACTATTTTATCTGTGTCGATATGGGTCAGAGTGTACAATAGCTTGGGCCAAACTATAGAAGTAGGGGACGTACCTCCTCGTGTTCCATGATGCTAAGTTGCTCATCAATATCAACATCTTTAAGACCTTCCATCAGTTCACTAAGACGTTCGTTGCAGTGACGGAGCATCTCGGGGACTTGATCGTCTGTGGCATCCGCTTTCTCAATGTACGGTGAACTAATGTTGACGAAGTTCAGTTTTTCATGTATATGATCAACGCCCGCCTTACACTGAACCAGTAAGCGACTTGCTTCACTTAAACTCTGGTTCAACTGTTCTCGACGTTGCATTTCTGTCTCAGCTTCTTTTTTGTATTGTTCCAAAAGTTGGTTAATGCTGAAACAACAACCAATGCAAATTAGTGATGATGATGAAGAAGAAGAGAAGACGGGAACAAGCACTTTAAATAAATCTGGGCTTCATCTCAATAAAATAAATGACACAGAAGAAGAGCATTAGGAACCGAACCAGTTACAGAGTTTTCCCACATTTTTATAGGTCAATGTCCTACAAACCACACAATAACTGGTGTCAATTTTGCTCCAACCTTAAGAATTATTGTCACCCCTGGACCTCCTGTCACACAGAGCTACGCCATGTTGTCCAAATCCATTATGTCGAGCTGACCGCCGAAGCCGAGTTTTAGTGGTCATAAATATAAGCAATCCGGTGCATCAGTTAAAGAGTACTACTAGATAAATTATAGTACAAGCCGAATCGTCATGATAATTCCTTGGCGCACAACTGACCACTACTCAACTACACAACAACTACTCAGTTACTGTAAAGTTGTTTCTATCTAAGCCTACCTGGTCCGATGTGATCGGGCTTGTCTGGAATTAATGATAGGTTCTGCAACCCGCAAGGCAAACACAAGAATCTGTTACCGCGCCCATTTTTGGGACGACTTCTCAACTGAATACATGCACACACCTCCAACTGACAAGCTGACTGAATCTGTACGTAAAGCTTTAAGTAAAGCACACATAAGACGTTCAATCCCACTATAAGACCCTCTATATGAAGACTGTTTTTACCTTTACGTTTTGTTTGTTTAAAGAACATATGATATTCTTTATGATAAACGCCTTTGTGGAAGAGGCCACCAAAACATTAGATAGGCTCTTTTCTTCAAGAAATAACTTGTTGCGTATATTATGCTTGGCACGTGCCAGAAATCCGAATTCAGTGCACAAATAGTCACGTCATGCATACTAACCATTTTTTAAGATCATATTTCCACAAGTTTAGATAACTCAGGCTGTATATGACTGTATTTTCGGGATAAACTTCGGATAATCCTTTTCTTCTTGTCTGCTATCTGTCACTTGCCTATGACATCGTTCCCTGTGAACGAGTGACTTCGCAGCTTCTGCAGGATTTTGTTATCGGGAGAACGCTCTCTGTAATTCACCTGATCCACACTGGTCTGTCTTCAGACATTGAAAGCAGTGCTTGCGATGCGATGCTCATATACCTCCATTGTGACATTCATCGGAAACGCCACTCTGCAATGCTTTGATAGGACTATGACATTGCAAAGTCCGCGCGTACAGTCACCTATGCATCGCCTTGAATGAGGTCATAGGGAGATAGGAAGTTTGGTAGTGTGTAACAAAGAGCGATGGGCAAACAGCGGGGTGTTACTTAGTCTGATTGTGTTCCGAAAGCAGAATAAGAGGAGACACGCAGAAGCGGGTCCACTACAGTTCGGCTTTTTTAAAAAGTGAACCACTGGTCTGTTGGATTTCGGCCTGCAACGGCCATTCATGCCTGAATCTCAAGTGCCGTCAGCTGTTCCTGAACGACACTGGCTGCCGTCCAAATCACTTCAAGCAAGAAACAAAACTGACTGACAATCACGGATTATGTCCATTTGGTGTACTCAAACGAACCCGGTAGGAGGCTGCTCAAAAGTTCTTACCATTCCTAGCAGTGGTGTCATATCATGGAAATGGTGCGCCAAGTGCTCTTTAGGTGAATTAGAATTGATTCATTTGAATTTACTATTCACAATATCTGTTTTGTCTAGCTCACTGAGATCATTCCAAATGTGATGATGTTCCCAGTATTTTGTCATTGTTTTTTATCAGAATAAAAACATAAGACCTGTTTCCGGTAGGTTAGCGGCAGTTCTTAGCACAGGCTTCTCATGAACTCTGTTTGACTAGTTCATATTGTCAGAGTATGTTAATAGTTATCCTCATAAAATATCACTTACCTTGTCAGTTCCGTTTCTCCCGAATATTTCAGTTCTTCAAACTTTGATTGCAGCCGATCGCGCTCCTCACGTAACGCCTGACATTGTCTCTCCGCCTTGTCCTTCAACTCAATCAGATGTCTCAATGTTTCTCCCTGACTTTCGAACCGCCTCACAATCTGATTCAAGTCTGATAGTCCAGTCGCTTCTTTAATCTGTCTGAAAGAATCTTCAAACGCAGCGATCTTTTGTTGCTGTTCCTCCGAAATACCCCCTGCACCAATTGAACCATTCTCGGCACCATGTGCAGCTGAACCGCCTGCGCTACC